AAGCTCAAATGAACCCACCTATAGTTGGACATTGCTTAATGGGCTGAGACTTTTTGGTTGAAGGGCCTTCTTTAAGAAAATCATGTGGCACACAAAATTGTCCATGCCTTGATCACAAACCAATCTTGGTTCCTTTAGACTAGCAAGCTTATGATTTTTACTCTAAGAGCACTTTCACACATTCATCATGGCAAAGGGCAAAGGACAATGGCAAGACAAGGGTTTTGGTGTTTCCACCCACTGCCATGGCAACCATTATTCATATGAGATATGATGAGAGGAATTTGTATAGAGTTTTGGTGTGGGAAGTAAAGAATATGACTAAGTATTTATTTTTTTAAAATTCGAAATTTTTTTGTAGATTTTTTTTTAAAATTTTTGGTTGCTGACATCATCGCTGACATCAGCAAACCCAGACTAGATCACGAGCTCATTTGCCTGAGGGTTGGCCTAGTTTCGTGGGCCCAAGTAGCTGCCTTGAAAGGTTCAGCCCACTGGAAGATGAATTTGGGGCTTGGGCCCCTCCTGCTGACAAAGGCAACCCTCTAGAACTGCTCTAATTAAAGACATCATGATCTTCATTTGAGACAAAAAGGATGTGTTTAATCTCATAAGATTAGTCACATGACACGTGAGGAGTTGAAGGTTGATGAAATAATATAAGAGATGAATTGCATGCACCAAATATATAATATAAATAAATAAAAAAGGTCTTATCGCAAGCTCATTTGCTATTAAAACAAAATAATTTGCATGCTTATCAGGAACATAATCCTCTACTCTGTCTGAATAACCTCCATTTCATTTTCTCTGAAAAGATTTTTCTAACTCTAAATATCTTGTTGGTGGGTCTTTTGTCCATATCTTAGGATGCAGATGCACTTGGTGAAAAACGAAACACTTTTGGTAAATGACAACGACAGACAGGCCAACCAAAGTTTTGGGTGCTCCTTGAATAGTTTTTATTTTTACGCACAAGATTTATGTGTAAAATTTAGTAAGGGAATTAGGATGAGCCTGTAGTGCCTAATTTTATTGACGCAGTCGTCCATGAGAAAAATGAGAATGAAATAACACGTTTAAGGTTTAAATCAAAATTCAAACCCTAGCTTGCGAAGAACGTATTCCACATTATATATGAACATTTCTTGTGAAGAACGTGTCAAAGATGGTCTAACAAAAGACTTATTATTATCTATTTCAATTTCTGTTCATAGCAGCCACCGTAACCCTAGCTTATCTATATATAGACTACTTCTATCGTGGGATTCAGAGCGCAGAAAATAAACATTATTGGGAACTCAACCACTAAGAAGTCTTAGATTAATTATATTATTCTCTCATGGCTTGCGACAAGAGTTTCTCTAGCAATTACTTGCTGTTGGAACCCAAGGATGTGGGTTTCTTTGATCTGATTCACATCTTGTTCTCCAATAACTTGGAGAAGAGAAGGTTCGTTGACTCTTTTGAGCAGACCGAGGATGAGTTTGCGCGCAGATGGCTCATATTTCTCTCCGTTGTTGTGCAAAAGTTGCTGCAGTTGGTGGCAAAGCCAATGGCAATTATTGGCTGGGGGATTGAAACATGCTTGAACCTCTTTTCAAGTAACCGCAACTTGGTTGGCCTCCTGCTGGATCTCTTTCGAGGTAGCTATAATTTTGGTCCCTTCTCATGCATGCAATTGCTTAGCATCCTAAAATACTTTTAATGTATGTAATTTCTCTTGGTTAACCTTAAATGATGATTGTCATAGTTGCCATATACGCTAAAGTTGAAGGCACCAGCAGTGAGTTGCCATGAGGTCTATAAACAACAGAGAAAATATTTAATATTATTAATTATGTGCGCAGGTAAGGATATAATACCCAAAAAAGACTCAAGAACGTTCTTGTCGTTTATTGGAAATTTGGACAAGCGAGTGGAGTTGGACAAAAGAATCAAACGTGGAGATGGCAATTATAATGCAGCACTCAGTATGATGGCGTCTAAAATATCATATGAGAACAAATTCTACATCCAAACTGCGGTCCAGGATCACTGGAAGGTATGGCGATTTACATCTTTAATTTGCTCCAAATGCTTCCATTAATTTAATAATTACTATAATTAATTGCCTTTTTCCCCCCCTTCTTTTGGCAGATGGAGTTCTTGGGCTCTTACGACTTCTGGAATGGTAAGAAATAACTTGAATTGCATATAAATTAACATGATAGTGTTTTATAAGCAAAATAGTCGGACATAACATGTCAAATTGTATGATAAGAATTTCCGTATTAGCACTGTATATATATGTGTATGATAAAAACTATAACTGGACATTATTATTATTATTGTCTGCCAGATTATCAAGGAAAAGCCACAACACAAGCGTTTGTGCTACGTGACAGAAGTGCTGACCATGACACTATTGTTGTGGCCTTTAGAGGTACAGAAGCTTTTGATGCGGATGCATGGTGCACTGACGTTGACATCTCTTGGTATGAGCTCCAAGGGGTTGGAAAGATTCATGGAGGCTTTATGAAAGCACTTGGATTGCAGAAGAGTGTTGGTTGGCCCGAGCCGGAGGAAATCAAACAAGATGATAGCCACCCAGCCTTTGCTTACTATGCCATTAGGGATATGCTGAAGAAACTTGTGCTTGGAAATGACAAAGCAAGATTTATTGTAACTGGGCACAGTTTAGGTGGGGCACTAGCAATTCTCTTTCCCGCAGTTTTAACATTTCACAAGGGAGAGGATTCAGATCTGCTGTTGGAGAGATTGGAGGGAATTTATACATTTGGCCAACCTAGGGTTGGAGATGAGAGATTTGGGCAGTACATGGAAAACAAGTTGAAAGAGCATAGGGTTAAGTATTTTAGGTTTGTCTATGCTAATGACATGGTGCCCAGGTTGCCTTATGATGACCGGTCCTTAATGTTCAAGCACTTTGGGACATGCCTCTACTATAATAGGGAATATGAAGTTCAGGTAACAACTGCTTTTCTCTTATCAAATTCAACTGATAAAATCCAGTACTAAAAGAAGTGTTAATGCTCTCTTACCAAACTTGTGCTGCTACGCAAATGTTTATGTTGTCAAAGCAGTGAGTTTGTACCACATATTCAAGTAAAATCAACATGGTCAGTAGTCCAAATTCACAGATTTGGCACATTACATTTGTGGAATGCATAGGATTCGACATGTTGAATAAATATGCATGTGAAACCCACACTTGTAGGGTTGGTTATAGCCATAATACATATGTGATCCGTAAGTGTGGTACAAATAATTTAACTCTAGAAACATTAACTCTCACAATATGAAATTACAATTACATGCTTCTTATTATGATGTTAATGTGTGCAGGTTGTTCGAGAAGAGCCAAACAAGAATTACTTCTCCCTAGGGAGTGCTATACCCATGATGATGAATGCTTTTGGTGAGCTGATAAGAAGTTTCATCATTCCAATTAAGGAGGGACCCGATTACATAGAAGGGTCCTTCTTGAAATTGGTTAGGGTAATCGGTTTGGTAATACCAGGAGCAGCAGCACATTGTCCCCAAGACTATGTAAATTCCACCAGATTGGGATCCTCAAAAGTCTTCCTCCCGCCCAACTATTACATATGAAACTAAAATATGCATATGTCTAGTTCTGCATGCCTACAATTCTAAGCAGGATTGCAATTTCTCCCATTTATTTTAAATACATATCAAACTTCAAATTCCTTATCTAAGTCATGCTCCTTATATTTTCTCTACCAATAATATTATTTGTAGAAAATATTTATTGACCACCTCTCTAATAGAGGTGAGCTTTAATGTAGAACCCACCTATATATTAGAGAAATGATAAGCAACGTGGTTTGCAAATGTAATATAAATAGCATTACTTTGGTGGAGAGTCACCTATATATAAAAAGGTGTGTTGTGAGTATTTGCCATTCTTAATTTGATTTTGAGTTTGAGGTGGAGAGTGAACTTCCTTTAGAAATCAAATCATCACCACCTAATATATGCCAAGGTCATTTCGTATAAAAAAATATATGGCGAGACAACAATTTGCAAAAGAAAAATACTTTTGATGCTATTAGTGATGATGATACTCTGTCAATAATGATAGAATAGAATATTAGTTTTTAGCTGTTGTGGGGCATGCTTGTCAGGAACATAATCTTCTACGTACTCTTTCTCAATCTCCATTTTCTCTGAAATGATCCTGTTGGTCGGTCTTCTGTAAATATACCTTCAGAAATAGAACAGAAATTAAAGCACCTATACTACGTGAAAATTGAAACACTTTTCAAAATTGAAACACTTTGGAAAAGACCATCGCCAGGCCAATGAAACATTCATTCCAAATAAAAAGCTCATATCTTTTATTCATATGAGATTTTTCACACCCACAATATTAAGATGTTATGAGAGTTCGAATTTGAGATCATTAGTCAGCAAGTTAAAATTCAGACTAAAATCTATAAGACGAAATAATTAAGAAAGGGGTGCCAAAACTGTTATATCCCTATGTTTGGCAGTTGGGTTTGATCCATATGTTGCTACCAATAATTCCATATGCTTTTTAATTTTTTTAATTTTTTTTTTTCCAAACCTCTAGGACTTTCGTTTTTGTTCATTTTCGTCGAAGTCTCTGAGAAGTTGTGCAAGTTGTACTCATTTTGCACGCACGTTGTTTACTATTACAGTGGGGTCAAATGAGTCATTGAATTATAAGTCTTCGCCATCCTGAAAAAGAAGAAATAGTCTTGTCCCATCCAAATTTGTGGAGTTCGTCCCACGAAAAAAAGGAAAATAAAGAAAAGATTCCACGCAATAATTCATATACCTTTCCTTGAAGTGAACGCGTACGTCAAAGAAGTCTAAAAGAGACTCGGTCAGTATTTGATATAGGTAGAGCCACCATAGCTGATCAACAACAGTCTGCTACAATTATTGTACGTATGAGAGTAAACTTTAGCTATATTTAAACTAGTTCTAACTTGGTTGAGAGCACTGAAATCATGGCTTGTGACAAGGGATTTTCTTGCAGCTACATGCTCTTGGAACCCAAAGATGTGGGTTTCTTTGATCTGATTCACATCTTGTTTTCCAACAACTTAGAGAGGAGGAGGTTTGTTGACTCTTCTGAGGAGACTGAGGATGACTTTGAGCGCAGATGGCTAATATTTCTCTCTATTGTAGTGCAAAAGGTGCTTCAATTTGTGGCAAAGCCAATGGCAACTATCGGGTGGGGGATCGAGATGTGCTTGAACCTTATCTCAAGTAATCAAAGCTTGGTCGGGCTGATCCTAGATTTTCTGCGAGGTATAAGTTTGCTTCCTTCTAATGCATTAACAAATATTATCATTGCTCCTTCTTACACGGAAAACAAGATTGTCTCCTCCCAAATACTAATTTCATTCATAAAAATGTGTTAAGTAATCGTTTTAGCGTTGATTACCGATTGTCATAGTCGCCCCGAGCTCTACGCATACGGTTCTTGAATCATGACAGCACTTCTAAATAGAGGCAGCAGCGCCCAGCCGTCTCCGGACAGTTGGTATTTCAAACCTTAAAAATGGAGATTAATTGGATACTGGTTATACGTACAGGTGAGGTTATAATACCAGAAAAAGACTCGAGAATGTTCTTGTCGTTTATTGGACATTTGGACAAGCGAGTAGAGCTGGACAAAAGCATCAAACATGGAGATGGCAGGTACAATGCAGCACTTAGTATGATGGCGTCTAAAATATCATACGAGAACAGATTCTACATCCGAACTACGGTCCAGGAAAACTGGAAGGTACGGGAATTTAAAATTTTAATTAGCTTTAGCTACAATATGCTTCCATAGCCTTGATTTTAATCCTAGACTAGAATTAATTATAAAAATCACATGCTTTTTTCTTTTGATTTCCCTTCTTTTGGCAGATGGAGTTCTTGGGTTCTTATGACTTCTGGAATGGTAAGAACTAAACTCAAATTGAAAAAAAATAAAAATTAAGTCCCACACATAAATCGACATATGTAGGATAATGTTTTATAAGCGCATGACTCCCTGCCACTTTTATCTCCCCCCCGCGCGTCCCACACATAAATCGACATATGTAGGATAATGTTTTATAAGTGCGTGACTCCCTGCCACTTTTATCCCCCCCAACTCTCTTTTCTCTTTCCCCTGGGCTTCTTTTTTCCTTCTCTCTTTTCTATGTTTTTTTCTTCTTCTTCTTCCCTTTCTCTTTTCCTAGGTCTTGTTGCTTCATATCTACCTACTTTTATTTCCTGAAAATTTTCGAGTAGGCAGCTGCCTACCCAAAACATGGCTAGATTCGCTAGTGGTACAATTAAACATGAATAATAGTCTAAAATAATTTAAGTTGAAGCAACATTGACATGTGAAGTTGTTTGATAATTTCAGCGTTAACATATACACATGGTTGCACATGCATAAATTGCATAAAGCTAACTGAAATTATTATTGTCTTGGCAGATTATCAAGAAAAAGATACAACACAAGCCTTTATGCTTCGTGACAGAAGTGATGACCATGACACTATTGTTGTGGCCTTTAGAGGCACCGAACCCTTTGATGCGGATGCATGGTGCTCTGACTTTGACATCTCTTGGTATCAGCTCGAAGGGGTTGGAAGGGTACATGGTGGATTCATGAAAGCTCTAGGTTTACAAAAGAATGTTGGTTGGCCCAAGCCGGAGGGAGTCAAACAAGATGATAGCCGCCCAGCCTTAGCTTACTATGCCATTAGGGATATGCTAAAGAAACTTCTGCTTGAAAATGCCAAAGCAAAATTTATATTAACCGGGCACAGTTTAGGTGGGGCTTTAGCAATTCTCTTTCCGGCAGTCTTAACCTTCCACAAGGGAAAGGATTCAGATTTGCTGCTGGAGAGATTGGAGGGAGTTTATACATTTGGGCAACCTAGGGTTGGAGATAAGGATTTTGGGCAGTACATGGAAAAGAAAATGATAGAGCATATGATTAAGTATTTCAGGTTTGTTTATGGTAATGACATGGTGCCGAGGCTGCCTTATGATGACAAGGCCCTAATGTTCAAGCACTTTGGGACTTGCCTCTACTATAATAGGCAATATGAAGTTCAGGTAACAACTGATTTTCTCTTATCAAATTCAATTAAGGGAATCGCATTTGTAGACTGCATAGTAGACAACATATTTAAAAATGCGGTCCACTAATGTGGTATAAATACTTTTACGCTCGCAAGAAATGTGCCTTAATTAACTTTTAACAACATATGCAGGTTGTTCTAGAGGAGCCAAACAAGAACTACTTCTCACCAAAAGGGGTAATTCCCATGACGGTGAATGCTTTTGGAGAGTTGATAAGAAGTTTCACCATTCCAAATAGGTTTGGACCTGACTACAAAGAAGGGCCCTTATTCAAAATGTTTAGACTAATGGGATTGGTCATGCCAGGCGCAGCAGCACATTGTCCCCAAGATTACGTAAATGCCACCAGATTGGGATCCTCTCATGTGTTCGTCCCACCAAAGCGTTATTTATGTAATTAGTGCCAATGATTGCGAGGCGGATTTCAATTGTAATTAATTTGAAGTTCCCTATTATTTTTAGTCATTTTAAACACATTGTATTTATAAATTGATGCACGTATTGTATGAACCTATGGTTCTTCCAAATATATAGAAAATTTCGACCAAAATATCGAAATTCAAATTCTTTTCATCCAAATACGTTATATATTAGGTTAAATGATGCTTTAGAGCAACTACACTCATTTGTCCTTTGCCATGGCAAGGGGAGGCTAGGGCAGAATCGGATAAAATTTAGACTATTCATATCTCATAATCGGATAAAATTTTCGGTTTCAAATTTCAGATAAATTTTAAAAAAAAAATTGGCTAGTATTTATAGAAAAAAGTTCATTAAATTTTGGGTATTTTTAAAAAAAAAATCCGAATTTTTTCAGTATTTTATTACAAAAAAATTGGTTGCCCTTGGATTGGAGAAAAAAATATGATCAGAGAGCTCATATGACGCCACGTGGCAACAGTAAAAAAAATTCAAATGAGTGGGCTGACGCCAGCCTGGCGTCAGTGATGACATCAGCCCAAAACTCAGGCTCGCGCTCGGGCTGAACTTTCCTTTAGGCCAACCCAAGCTTGTGGCCCCCACCTCCTGCCGGAACTGGATTTTTCCGCGCCCCCCCCCCGGGCTTGGGCTCCTCGGCGGAATCACTCTTAGAGCACCTCCACCGCAGGCACAGAATCGGGCAAAAGGCCCCCCCAGATGGCCCAAAACAGCTCCAGCGCTCCACTTCCAGCACGGGCAAGCCCTGGGTCCCACCAGCCCGGGCAAGCCCAAGGGCAAGTTTCCACTGGGCTTCAGCCCGAGTTCGATGACGTCAGAGTGACATCATCGCACGGTAATGTGCCACGTGTCGCAACCCTAACTCTTCGATCCTTTTTTTTCCAACAATCCGACAGTCCTCGTTTTTTGGCTAAAAAAATTGCAAAAAAAATCGAAAAAAATCTGAATTTTTTTTTAAAAAATACCAAAAAATTCTGTATTTTTTCCCTATAAATACATAACCATTTTATTTTTTCCCTCACATTTTCTACTACTTTCCATTTGTATAAAAAAAACAAATGGCATAAAAAATTGCAAAAAAATTCAAATTTTTTAAAAAAAATACCAAAAAATTCTGGATTTTTCCCTATAAATACCTAACAATTTTATTCACTTTCCACACCAAATCTTCATCCAAAATATAAATAGTGATACGTGACAACCGAAAATATAATCTAAAAGCTTATCAAAATTAATGGTTTAAAGTATAAAAAAATAGGAAATAAAGTACAATGAATAGTAATTGCCTTAGACTTGCCCTAGACTTTGCCCTCATGTGTGGAACCACAAATGCAAAGGCTGACACTATTCACGTGAATAGTGGCAGCCCTTACTTGCCCTTGCCCTAAACTTAGCCCTTGTGGGTGGAGATGCTCTTAGTGAAGCCAGATCATAGATTGTTACCAATCAAACGAAAAGAATCATAGTAGCATGAGAATTCTCTCGGTTCCAAATTCCCATTTGAAGTCAATTTTAGGCCAAGTGGGGAACCGCACAATGATCAGTGGGGGTAGCTGCCCACTTTGAGTCAGTTTTAGCCCTACTGTTCTCGTTATCCTCTCATATATAGTCAAATCAAGAAACCATCTTTAATTAATAATTGATGCCCATACCACACGTCAAGTCAAGGAACCAACTTTAAAAAACAATTAGTTTATATCTTATAAATATCATTTTATTTATGCAATTTCTGATACACTTCCCCTATGAAAATAAGTTAAAAGTAAAAGGTACAACATAAAAAAAAGAGTATATAATAGATGCCTATTATCTTGTAGTTAAATATGAGCTTTTGGGAAAAGAAACGACCAGTGTCCACCACGCTCGTAGACTCATATTCAGATGTAGAATTTTAACTTTTATCTTAAGTCTATGTACAATACAACTTATTTAAAGACCAACTATCACTTAAAATATCCTTTTATTAACATTTTGAAATTGGTACTTAAGTGAAAGGAGTAAATTTAAACTCTAATAAAGCAGACATGTGATATCAATACTCAAATAATCCTAATAGCAGTAAGACTAGTCAACAATTGGTCATAGACTTATTAACAAACAACTGGTATACAGATCCAAATGAAATAAATTTACAAAACCTGCACAGTTAGAAAAGTACTATGTGATAATCTCTGTCAATTTAGGCATCCCTAATGCTAGCAACAACTAGAGTAAGAAGTGTGTGAGCATTCATTAGAACCATACGTTTATGTTGAGCAAGTATGACTAGTCAATATAACAAGAATCAACACCAGAGAAATGTTCACCCAGAAATTGATCATTAGAAAAAACTAGGGGTCATCATCCGACCAAACAAAGAATATTCTTATAGAAAAGGCAATTACACGCTCAAAAAATCCTAAGACTATTTAGGAAAACAACTACACCTCATTGTGCAACCTTCTTCTCCAACATAAACACAAGAATATAAGGCACCACTTGGCTCTTTTAATTATAGATCCCCTCCTTCATAAATCAAACATATTGAAAAAAATCCCTAAACCATAGTAAACTCGATTCTAATGAAATTTTTAAAAAATCAAGGAAAAAAAAATACTATGACCCTAATATTGTTGTCAAGGTATATGATATGGGATTCGTTTGGGAGTGATTATGGATATGCCAATAATCATTTTTTTATGGAGAATCACTTCTCCATATAATCACTAAGTGAATTTATGGAAAAACACCTCCTATATGCTTCTCCTCAGAATCACTTAAAATGACTAAAAAACATGTAAAAAGTATTTTTTTCTCAAAAAATGATTTTGGCATGTCCATAATTACTTCCAAATGAGTTCATAAACTATTTTACAAGTTGAGGTAGAAATCACCACCACGTGATTTTCATTTTATATGGGGAGATAATTTCATATAAATAAAAAAAGATATGGCGAGACAACAATTTGCAAAAGAAAAATACTTTTGAATAATAGAAGTAGTGATGATGATCTGCTCAAAAAAAGAAAAAAAAGAAAAAAAAGAAATTGTGATGAAGATGATGATACTCAATAATGATAGAATAGAATATTAGTTTTTAGCTGTCGTGGGGCATGCTTATCAGGAGCATAATTCAATTTTCTCTGAAATGATTAATACGTGTCGGTGGGTCTTTTGTCAATATGCAATAAAAAAATACAATATAAATTAAAGCCCATACACCACGTGAAAAACGAAACACTAGTGGCGAAGACCATGGCCAGTCAAAGTTCTTAATAGGCTGTGCTCAAATCTTTACTTCCCGAAAGTTAAAGTGATCTAAAGTGCTACCAATAATATTCTATTAAAAAAAATAAAAAATAAGATAAAATATTTGATCCATATGTTGCTACCAATAATATTTAAAACAAATATATATTTCTTATCTTGTTCACATGACTATTGTTTTTTCCAAGCCTCTAGGATGTTCGTTGTTGTTCATTTTCGTCGAAGCCTCTGAGAAGTTGTACTCTTTTTGCACGCACGTGGTCTGTCTGTAGATAATAAGAAAAAGAGCTCACTACTATTACACTTGGGTAAAATTAGGTCAACTACACAGATTTGTGGAAATTTGTCCCACAAGAATTTACATAACTTTTCTTGAAGTGAACGCATAAGTCGAAGAAGTGTAAAGAGGAGCGTGCTACAATTATTTGCAGGGACAAATAGTAAATCTAGCTAGCTATATATAAACTAGTTGAGAGCACAGAAAAATAGACATTCTAAACTCAAATAAGATCAATTCTCTGAAATCATCATGGCTTGTGACAAGGGATTTTCTTGCACCTACATGCTCTTGGAACCCAAAGATGTGGGTTTCTTTGATCTGATTCACATCTTGTTTTCCAACAACTTAGGGAGGAGGAGGTTTGTCGATTCTTCTGAGGAGACTGAGGATGACTTTGAGCGCAGATGGCTCATATTTCTCTCTATTGTCGTGCAAAAGTTGCTTCAGTTTGTGGCAAAGCCAATGGCAACTATTGGATGGGGGATCGAAATGTGCTTGAATCTTATCTCAAGTAATCAAAGCTTGGTCGGGCTGATCCTAAATTTTCTGCGAGGTATAAGTTTGCTTCCTTCTCATGCATTAACAATTATTATCATTATTAATTGTTAAATTTAGGGAAATTAATTCAATCAGTGCTGGACTATATTTAAATGGAGATTATATTGGATAATGTTTATACGTACAGGTAAGGTTGTAATACCAGATAAAGACTCAAGAACATTCTTGTCGTTTATTGGGAATTTGGACAAGCGAGTAGAGCTAGACAAAAGCATCAAACATGGAGATGGCAGGTACAATGCAGCACTTAGTATGATGGCGTCTAAAATATCATATGAGAACGCATTCTACATCCGAACTACGGTCGACCAACACTGGAAGGTATGTCGGAATTTACAACTTTAATTAGGTTTAATAATACTAGAATTTTAATTGCAAAACTCACACCTGCCTTTTGTTTTGTTTTTCCCTTTTCCTGGCAGATGGAGTTCTTGGGCTCTTACGACTTCTGGAATGGTAAGAACTAAACTCAAATTGAAAAAAATTAAAATTAAATCCCACACATACATCGACACAGGATAATGTTTAAGCAGTCTGACAAGTAATTTAGGTTGAAACAACATAACATGTCAGATTGTTCGATAATTTCCACATAACATATGATAAAGCACCTGCGTAAATATATGTGTAGGTATATGATCGATTACATAAAAACTAACTGAAATCATTATTATCTTGGCAGATTATCAAGGAAAAGCTACAACACAAGCCTTTATGCTTCGTGACAGAAGTGATGACCATGACACTATTGTTGTGGCCTTTAGAGGCACTGAACCCTTTGATGCGGATGCATGGTGCTCTGACTTTGACATCTCTTGGTATCAACTCGAAGGGTTTGGAAGGATCCATGGCGGCTTCATGAAATCTCTAGGTTTACAAAAGAATGTTGGTTGGCCGGAGCCAGAGGAAGTCAAACAAGATGATAGCCGCCCAGCCTTAGCTTACTATGCCATTAGGGATATGCTAAAGAAACTCCTGCTTGAAAATGACAAAGCAAGATTTATAATAACTGGGCACAGTTTAGGTGGGGCTCTAGCAATTCTCTTTCCGGCAGTCTTAACATTTCACAAGGGAAGAGATTCAGATTTGCTGCTGGAGAGGTTGGAGGGAGTTTACACATTTGGGCAACCTAGAGTTGGAGATAAGGATTTTGGGCAATACATGGAAAAGAAAATGATAGAACATAAGATTAAGTATTTTAGGTTTGTTTATGGTAATGACATGGTGCCAAGGCTGCCTTATGATGACAAGGCTCTAATGTTCAAGCACTTTGGGACTTGCCTCTACTATAATAGGAAATATGAAGTTCAGGTAACAACTGCTTTTCTCTTATCAAATTCAAGTAATGTTAAAGGAATCACATTTATAGATTGCATATCGTAAGACCCCACTTATAGGGGTGAGTCGTGCGTCTAGCTATTTATATGGTTCACCCCACTTATAGGGGTAGGTCATGCGTCTAGCTATTTATATGGTTCACCAATGTGGTACAAATAATTTTACATCTGAAAGAAACACGCCTTAATTAACTTCCACAATATGTACAGGTTGTTCTAGAGGAGCCAAACAAGAACTACTTCTCGCCAAAAAGTGCAATTCCCATGATGATAAATGCTTTTGGAGAGTTGATAAGAAGTTTCACCATTCCAGATAGGTTGGGACCAAACTACAAAGAAGGGCTCTTATTCAAAATATTTAGGCTAATGGGTTTGGTCATGCCAGGCGCATCAGCACATTGTCCCCAAGATTATGTAAATTCCACCAGATTGGGATCCTCTCATGTGTTCCTCCCACCCAAGCATTATCTATGAACTACTGCCTACGATTGTGAGGAGGATTTCAGTTGTAATCAATTTCAAGTTCCATATTATTTTTAGTCTTTTTAAATATATTGTATTTATTGATTAATTCTTAAATGAACCTATGGTTCTTCCAAATATATCGAAATTCAAATTATTTTCATCCAAATACATTATATAGTAGATTAACTGATGCCTTTGTGAAGCCACATAATAGATTGTTATCAATCAAATGACAAGAATCATAGTAGCATGGGAATTGTCTAAGTTATAAATTCCCACTTGGAGTCAATTTTAACCCAAGTGGTGGAACCACACAGTGATCAGTGGGGGCAGCTGCCCACTTTGAATAAACCTTTCGCCCAAGTGTTGTCGTTTATCCTCTCATATATAATCAATAAACTATCTTTAATTAATTAATAATTGATGCCCAAACACCACGTCAAGTCAAGAAACCAACTTTTTTAAAATTTGTTTTAATTTTATTATCTCATTTTACAATTTAAATACAATTTTGTTAAGAAAATAAGTTAAAAAGTAAATGGTTTAACATAAAAAATGAGTATAAGATGACTAATCACATTGTGCTGAATTCAAAACGTTGGTAGGTGGAACAAAATTACATATTATTAACTTTTAGAATCTAATTAGGGGTTGAAGAAAGTAGGACAGATTAATAATTTTCTACTACTTTTGTACGATGATTCCTAGAAAGAATTTAAGGAGATCCAAAAGAATATGGTGGACTACTTCTTTTGCTTGCTCTTTGTATTTGACTTTGACTAGTAAAATAAAATTTAAAGTAATCTGAAAAATTCTTTGCTTGATTTTTCTGATATCTTGTTCACACATGGCTATCTTCTTCTTCTTCTTGTTTTTTTTTCTTTTAAACTCGTCTGGTGAGTTGGATTATGTAGTTGAATATGATTCATAATACTAGTCAAATATTTGGTGGCTAAAAAACAATATGGATTGGATTATGTCTAATCCTACTTAGCCAAATATAGTTGGGTTATGAGGGCACTTTCACCCCTATGGGCAAAGGTTAGGCAAGGGCTGTCACTATTCACATGAATAATGGTAGCCCTTGCAATTTTGTTTCCACCCTTATAAGCTAGGGCAAGGGAAATTACTGTTCATATGAGATATGAGGAGATGAATTTGTATAGAGTTTTTGGTGTGGGAAGTAAAGAATATGGCTAGGTATGTATTTTTTATAATTTTTTTTGGTTGCTGATGTCAGCATTGTGTCATTTTGATTAGGCAGTAGCTTAGGCTGAACTTGCCCGTGGGCTTGCCTGAGCTCGTGGGATCCACCCTTTGCCCGAGCTGGACTTGGCGCGGTGGAGGTGGATTGTGGCCCTTTAGCCCCCTCCTGCCCGGTTGAAGACGCGCGCTGGAAGTGCTCTAAATCCTGCTAAAAGGTTGAGATTAAGTTGGATTGGGTTATATCTAATCCTATTAAGCCATGTTATATAACACATTTCAATTAATCAAACCCCTTAATAATATGTAGTACCAAACACATAATTGAATTAGTGACATCATTTCCAATCCGATGCAAAGTCCTCCCAAAATTATTAATCTAGTTCTCCCACATTAGACCCCCCTTCCTGTGAAAAAAAAACCCCTTATGCGCCGTATGACCTAGGGGAAGGGGAGAAGGAGGTTCTCTCCTCTTCGCATTTCCTCTGGTTTCTCTTCTCTAGCCCACTCCTTGTTGCTTGTGGATCTCCTTGTAGGGATCCGTTGCTCGTTTCCCCCCTTTCTTTGTGGGTGTTATGCTCTTCCATTCGGTGGGTGTTGTTCTCCTCTTTGTGGGTGTTTTGCTCAAGCTCTACTTGAACTCTTAAGGCTTTATGCCTACGGTTTCCTTTATTTACCCAAATCCCCCCTTATTTCTCATCCCTTGTATTCAGTTGTCCCTTCCTCCATCCATTTCCTCTTATCTCCCTCACACACTCCATTCAAATCCCTTCTCTTTAGTCTTGGTCTTTCCCACCGAAATTTTCTCCTCCCTTTTGATCTGGCTTCACCTTGTGGCTACTTCGGCTTGCCGAAAACGCGGTTTCCCAAGCACAACTCTGAAGATGTGTAGAGTTCGAGTTTTTGCTCTTTCTCGGGTGCCTGCACCACCTCATTCTATTATGTTGATGTTTGTTCTAATGCTTTGTCATGTTTGATTTGGGAGGTGATGATCTTCTTGTGGCTGGCTTCTTTTTTCTTATATGTGTCTTTGTAATATGTGGGATAAGGTATTTAGGTGGATTTGTTGGTTGTGCAATTTTTTCGCTTTGTGCCCATTGGGTGTGGCAGCTCTTCCCTTCAACTTGTCCCGGTGATGTCGTCTTAGGCAGTGGCGGCGGTGGCTCTGTTGAATTTTGGTTAGGGTTTGTTAGCTTTCTTGGCCTTGGTGTGGGCTTGTGTGGGCTTAATGCCTTATAGGTTTTTAACTTCTTGTTGGTTCTTTTGCATTTTATTTGGGCCTCTGTCATTTTCGCTTTGTTGATGAGCTCAGTTGGTTGGGTCTCACCTTTTGGTGTATTGTTATGCCCGGTTTTTAATGAAATTCACTTCTGACAAAAAAAATAATTTTCAATCCGATGCAATCCAATTCTACCCTATAATCCAATCCAATCTAAATAATATTAAAAGAAGGCCAGGAATAATTGGTAGTTGTGCATTTTCTTCTAAGCATCTGACAAGTTTCTAAGTAGAGAATACAAGGAAGAGCCTCACTGTAGAGTGATGAGGAATATATGTGGGGTCAAATGAAGTCAAACTTGTAAAGTATTGGTCATTCATGATAAATAAAGAAAAAATAGCATTGTCCTACAAAAGAGAAGACTCCACACTACTAGTTTCAAAAAACTTAAAGTTTATGCGTGAAAGAAGTCTATAAAAGGACTTGGCCATTTGACATCTAACCACCACAACTGATATTGCAAGTACTTCTAATCTAATGTGGTTGGCTCTGAAAGTAGCTTTCACAAAAGGCAATTCTTTAGTCATCTCTCGAAGACTCTCTTGTTTGGGTTAAAATCTTGTGTCACTTATGTCCTCAAATGGGGACTAGGGTGAAGCCATATACGTACCTTTAGAAGTGATGGTTGATATTAAGGGAAAAAAACACATGCTGGAGGAAAATATTATTTTAAGTGGCGTTATTTCAGAGATCTGCGAAATATAAAACATGACACAAGAAACTTGATTAAGTAATGTGCTTGGACTAAGTCTAATGATTTCAACGCAAGATAGAAAAAAATGGATTTGAAAGGTAAAAATCAAAATTTCCAAAACAGCAGTCTACAGTGGAAAGCGTTTCTTGAAAAACGTGAGTGATAGCTTAGTCTTTACACGACAGAGTAACGTAGCAAAGCATTATAAATATTGATCAAAGCATGACCCTAAAACAACACCAAAAGGAAGTCTAACACCATTAGGCCTGCCTTCTTTTGCTTCTGAAACTATGGCTCCCTACGAATTTTGCAGTTCTAGTGCTGAGACCAAACAAAGCAATGAAGCTCTTACGCTTCTTATGGTCTGGCTACATAGCAGAAGGAGCAGATGCTATGATAGAGTGCCCAAAAGGGGAGGAGGAAGAAAATCGCAAACATAAAGTGGTTATCTTTCTGTCTCTCTTAGTGCAAATGATTTTGTTATGGATCGGCTGACCCAACCATCTTGATTACAAGTGATGCCTTTCCATTGAAAAAAGTTAACTGATGAAGTCCAGTTTAAGGGAGAAGAAGATAGAGTAAGGGTGAAGGACAGGAGAGAGTTGCTCTCAATTTGGTTGCATGCATGAATATTCATAGAGATGATGGAAGAGAACAAAAAGATAGGAAGGAGGATATGAGCCATTGTTTATATGGCTTCATGGCAATAGTTTTTGTCTCTAACCTTCTCTCTTGTTTGCTTGACATGTGTCATTGTCCTTACACTTAAAACAATGTCATTAATATATTATACAAGTTAACTTTTGCTTTCTAAGTTTACCCTTATTAAATATATTCAATTTATCCAAAAAAAATTCACAACTTTCTTACAAATTTTTTTTTAAAAATGTCAATTATTATTTTAAAGAAAATGTCTGCTTTTTTCAAAAAAGAGGAAATGTCCTTTTTTTTAAACACAAAGGACTTTTTTTTTTCCTTCTATCTAAACCCTTTGTGTTAAATTTTTTTTTATTTTTTTTATAAGGGCATTTCCTCTTAAAAGCAATATTTTCTTTAAAAAAAATAATTGACGTTAGAAAAAAAATTAATAAGATTGTAAGAAACTTGTGAAAGTTTTTTGGATAAATTGAATACATTTAATAAGGGTAACCTTGGAAAGCAAAAGTTAGCTTGTATAATATATTAATGACATTATTTTAAGTGTAAAGAGAATGACATATGTCAAGCAAAAAAGGGAGAAGGTCCAAAGGAGAAAGTTAGAGAGAAGGTTGCTAGCATTCCTCTTGGATATATATAGACACGAGTAAGTAAAGGTTCTTTCCTTCTTTTTAGCCTGAAAATGAAATTTTTTCAAAAGGCAAATCATTAAATTGAAAACTGAGAATTGGGCAAACAACCATACCCACACAACACAAATATCCAAACCCTTATGTACGTGGAAGAGAGATCTCCACACCCTTGTGTACGTGGAAGAGAGGTTTCCACTAATGAAACCAAAGCGAAGATCTTGTTATTTTAAAGTCTAGCATTGACTCCAAAGTAGTTGCGTCCTCAAGCTATAGCACTAATTACACACACACACACACATATATATATATATACCCGAGTTCAATTCACGTAAAAGATAATCTTGAGGCAACCCAATATAATACTCTTCCATTTTCCTCCCTATCGAATGAAAAAAATAAAATTGCAAAAAGTAGAATAAAAATTATAGTTGAAAATTTATTACGTACAGGACCAGTAAAATTTCTTTAAAGAACAAAGTCATATGCAAATGTGACCTAGCTAGCAGCAAAATCACCATAATGACAATTAGGGTCAAATTAAAAT